GCTGCTAGTGGGCACACAGCTGATGGAAAAGCAGAGTAACACATTCAAGGCGGCTTTGCCCTAGGCACAGCACCTTACAAAAAGTAAAATGCTTGACACACACCATGTTGGTTGGATTTCACATCCTCTTATGACATGGTCATTAAGGGCTTTGCTCTAAGCCAGTCCTCAACCTGGCTCTTTTGATGAAACTCAGTCTTGAACATCGGCTGTCCCCTGAAACTGATGCATTAAGGCTTGGTGAGTTTCAAGTACGAAAGCAAGGTGGTAATGTAGTATGTTTTTCTTGTTTGATATTCTCCACATCCATTTGATTCACTGTACCGACGACTTTTGAAGACGTGAAACTGTTAACTAAGTGTGGTGACACACACACTTGTAATCCCAATACACTGCAGGCTGACGCAAAAGGATCTCAAATTCAAGCCCAGCCTGGGCAATGTAGCAACTTAGCGAGACCCTGTCTCAAAAAAATAAAACATATAGCTCAGTGTGTAGGCCCTGGGTCCAATCCCCAGGACCACAAATAAATAAATAATTGCATAAATAAAATTTAAAAAGAATTTGGTCATCAAAACAACTTATGCTGAAGGAACATGTCATGTCAAGTGTATTTTTTAAAAGTCTTGAATGGGAAGTTTTTCACCAGAAGAAATAAAATGAGCACGACGACTATTTGAACTATACACACAAGGGCAATTTTACTTTTCAGGTATGCAAACATGTTTCCTTCCTATGTTCTTCTACCCGGGTATTTCACTTAACCTGCACCCAAGACAAGACGTTCGTGTGGTTTCAGAAATAAAGCTCAAGATGAAAGTGATTTGCGTGCACAACTCACATTTTTTAATTCAGTTTTCTTTCAAAAAGGCCAAAAATTTTTTTTTAATGCCAAGGACAATCCGCGTCCCGAAGCAGGTTTAAACGAACCTGCGCTTCCGATCCGGCCTGCCCGCCGTGCTGAGGGCCGCAGGCGCCGCCAGACGGGCTGTGAAGCGGTCCAGCCGGGAAGGCCTCGCTCACTGCCTGAGCCCAGGACTGTGTGAGTCGTCTTCGGCCACTTTCAGGCGCAGACTTTGGCCAGGAAAGGCTCTGAAGTGAAGGGTAGGGATTTTCACGACCTATCAAAGTGTGTCCGACGTTCCCGTTGACGTCAGCTCCTCTGACCCCCGAAATTTAGGCACCAGACGGGCTCTGCGACACCGCCCCCCACACCCGACTAGCGCCGGCCGGGGTCGGGAC